CTACCCTTCCTCGAACTACCTTTTCGAAGGATTTCAGGGCTCTGCCTACCACGAGAAGGTCTAGCATGTTTATGTGCAGTGAGGCCTCTTCTGCGCCATGGGCGATGAGGCCGTGGGAATGTGCTCCCCACACTGTGAGGGAGGAATATGCACTTATAGTCCTGGTAGGGTGTGGGAGGTGGAATGGGAGGCCTGAACGTACTCGGTGACCATCCGTCCACCATAGAAGAGAATGGCGAAAGCAAGAAGGGAGGGAGAGTCTGGTGGACGGACAGTCCGTGAAGGGGTTGAACACCGAAATAAACCAGGATTGGAGGGGTCGTGGTCTCAACCGAGAATAAGGGGTAACAAAGGTAGTGGAAGCCATGTGGCCTAACAGGACTTGGATCTGTCTGGCCGACAAGTGGGGAGACTCCAATGCTAGCCTGACATGCTCCTGCAAGTTGGAGAAACGGTCCACAGGGAGATAGGCCCTCTCGGTGACTGAATCTAGGAGTGCACCAATGAAATGGATCCGACGAGTGGGTGACAGGGAAGACTTTTCCAAATTGACCATGAGGTCCAGGGACTGGAGGAGAGACAAAATGACAGAGACATGTCATTGCAGCTGGTCACATGACTTAGAGACAATCAACCAGTTGTCAATATAAGGATACGCCGTTATTCCCCTAGTGCGCAAATGGGCTGCCACCACGGACATACATTTTGTGAACACACGTGGGGCGGTGGATAAGACAAAAGGCAACACATTGTAACAGTAAGCTTAATGGCCCACCATGAAGGAGAGGAAACTACGATGATCAGGGGCTATTGAAAGGTGAAAGTAAGCATCTTTTAAATCAATTGTTGCAAACCACACATCCCTAGATAATAGGGGCATAATGGAGGAGAGAGTAACCATGCGGAACTTCTTGGACAAAATGTATTTATTCAAGGCCCTGAGATCCAAAATAGGGTGGAGACCTCCACCACGCTTAACAACCAGAAAGTAGCGAGAGAAACTTCTTGGGGTAAAAGTACAGAAACAGGGGTAACCCTAACATGGCCCACTCGGGGTAGCTCCTCAAACTCAATCGCATAACCCTCTGAAACAATGGAGAGAACCCATCTATCCAAAGTGATACTGGACCATACATCATAAAAGGGGGATAACCTATCCCAAAACAATGGTGTGGCCCGAATAACTGGATGGGATGTAAGAGGAAAAGCCTCATAAAAGACGCTTCTTAGAGGCAGACTGGGGCTTGTTCTTATTCTGAAAAGGTTGGAACTTAGACTAGGAAGTGCTACGGCCGCCCTGGTATCTGGAGGAGCTAGTGTAGCGATTTCTGAAAGGGCCCGCATAAGTATTGCCAAAGGTCTTACAGTAAGTGCTGGATAGAGGCTGCCATTTCTGCCTCTGTTGAGGATAGGCTTGCCCTAGGGAGGCGCTGTTCGCCTGGAGGCAGCATTTTGATGTAAGGCAGCATTTTTGACCATAAAAATTTTTGGTAACCACTCATGTAAGTGGTGTAATGCGCCATACGGGTAAAAAGGCCCGCAGAGAGGTGTGCCTTTTTACCCAAGGAGCCCACCTTCTTTCCCTCTCCATCAGGTGGGGAGGTGAGAGAGCCCTTCGGATGTTTGGTTTTTGTCACCTCTGCCACCACGGTGTTAGGCCTAGGTGGGTTAGTGACCCACTTGGCAGAAGACAGGTCTATTCTATACATGGAATCCACCCTCCTGGGCACTGCAGGTGCATCTGACGGGGGCATGTCAGAGATTTTGGCTAGTTTAAGGAGGTACGGCAACATCGATAGGGATGTAGAAAGTGTGGTATTTTGTTCCTCTGAAAGGAACATAGGATCCTCGACATGCTCTGGGGGCTTGGGGGCAGGGATATCAAGCGCTCTAGTCATTATTTCTACCAGAGCAGCAAACTTGTTGTAATGAGCAGGCTGAATCGCCCCCTTGTCACCAACCCCCGTAACCTGAATAGAATCAATAGATTCCGAAGAAGAGTCAGTATCACCAAGTTCTATAGTCTTTTGTTCAGATAAGTCAGTCACATCGGTCAACATAGGAGGCACAGCAGCCTCATGCTCTGGTTGCATAGAAGCTGGCACAGTATCCAGCAAACCCGAATGCTGGACAACACAAAGTAAAGTTGCTGGGGCAACAACAGATGGCACAACACATGGTAGAGCTGTTGGGTTAGCAGTAGATGGCACAACACAAGGCAAAGCCGCTGGGGCAGCATTAGAAGGCACAATCATGGGGGCGGCAGTAGGTGGCATAGTCATAAAGGCAGGCAAAGATGCCCCAGAGGAAAAACCCCCAGCCACAGTTCCTAAGCCCCCCAGAGGAGGAGGGGGGATTGCAGGTAAATAAGCATGCTGATTAGGTATCGACAAAGGAGGGGGCTGCACAAACATTAATTGTCCCGAAGGCCCCATTTGCCAGTAACCTGGGCAAGTAATAGGGCCCACCCCATAAGGTCCCCAGTGGATGGAGGAGGAATGTGAGAAGCGAGAACGCCTCCTCCTCCTAGAGCTCCTCGATACTGATCAGTATCAGCATCTGCGGGAACTTCTCGATGGTGATCTAGAGCGCCCGGGCCTCTTGCTAGCCCAGCGCCATCCTCGATGATGGGCCTCCGGTACCGGGAAGGGACTCTCCCCTGTCCCAGGGAGCGCCACCTCGACAGCAGAGCATGGTCCACCCCTTCCATCAGCTGGAGGTCCTCCTGCGCTTTGGCGTGCATTGTTGGGGTTCAGCCTGAGTTTGAACTTGAACCTGATTCTCTGTTTGTTCCTCCTGATGCTAATGAAAATATATTTACTGATGCTAATGAAAATGTACCTCTTGATGCCAATGCTCCTGAAATTAGTGAGGAAGAAACTTCTGTAGGTTTGGAAAATGCCAATGTTCCTGAAATTAGTGAGGAAGGAACTTCTGTAGATTTGGAAAATGAAAGTACCAGTGTTCATGAGAATGTTTCAGAGGGAAGCCATGACCTTTCACTCCCTTCTGCACCAGGGAACCTTAAATGACAACAGAAGGGGCCAAATTTGAGAAGATAGAAGTAAATCACTCAGTTTGCGTCGATCCTCCCGAATTCAAGAATTAAAAACATTGGCTTCAAAAAGAAGGGCGGTTCACGGAACCAATTCTTGAGTTTTAATTGCCTTACGCCGGGCTGACTGTCTCAGTTCAGGCATCGTTTCAGAATTGATGAAGACCTTGGCAGTTCTCCCGGTTCCCTGGCCATAGTTTGGGAAGATTTCTAGGATATCAAGTACGGTTAGTGGATTGCTAACAGGTTCCAGTATTTCACAGTGAGGCTTTTGGTTTTGCTTTGTCCATTTAAATTCATGTTTGCTGATTTTGCTGTGGCTTTTGACTTGCATTTTTCCTTTATTTTGTAACCATTTTTCTTCAATAAAAAAGGATTGTTTTTCACAGTCAAGTGTGGTGGATAGTTATCTTAGGGCCTCGTTCCCTGCTCTGGATTGCAACATGCATCGTCTCTGATGCTCGGAGGTGCAGCATTTTTGTCCGATGGGGGAGCTTCACTCACAGCGGACGCAGGACAGGCACTTCTGGTCTCGGAGGGCGGGCCCCCTACATGGACCTTGGCAGTCGCAGCTCCTGGATATCGGGAGGCATCAAAGGAGCAATTCAAGGTCCCGGCTCCCTGGCCCTGCGCACTCTGGGCTGGAGGGGAGAGGACCGGCATTGCCGGCCCTCCAACGTCGCTCCCTCTGCGTGCGTATACGCAGAATGGGAAGGGGGCATATCAACTTTTTGTAGAGAGTGATCAGCCAGCAGGGGGAGTGCGTTTTCTCCCTGACGCTTAGGAGGAGGCTGGGCAGCTGAAGAGATGGCGGCAGAGGAGCTTCCCGCTCTTTTCACAGAGCTCAGAGGCAGTGAGGAGGACTGGCGGCCATCTTGGCGGCCCTTGTCCTTAGCCTTTTTCACCTTCTTCTTAAGGGGACCGACAGATTGCTTTGCCTGCCCCAAAGGTAAGTTCAGCAATTCAGTAGATACAGCCCTACTCGGGGCAGCTGGCGGGAGAAGGGCCCTTTCATATAGGGCTGCTTTAAGCCTCGATTCTCTATTCTTCCTAGTCTGTGACATAAACGCCTGACAGACTGAGCAGGTCTTAGAGAGATGAACCTCTCCCAGGCAAGTTAGGCAAAGGGCATGGCCGTCAGTATCAGGCAAAACATTGGGGCAACTGGAACATTTTTTAAAAGAGGTAGTCGCCATGCCAAAACGTAAGTTGAAAAACAAGCAGAGAAAAAGTAAAACACAGTAAGATCCAGAGGATCAAAAGGGTAACTCGAATGCAGACAAGTCCAAAGCATCAGGCAGGAGAGAGTCGAAAGGCAGTCCAGGTCAAGACAACAGAATACCTCAACAATCCGATACAAGAGCAGTCCAAGACAGAAAGCTCGCGAGCTGAAGGTTCTCAAGCTGCTGCTTCATGCGGCGGATCAAGAGAACTGGAGGCTAGCCCTGCCCACGGGCTATATATACTCGAGGGAGTGGGCGGGGCGAGGCAGGGGGTAAAAATGTCTGTTTTATCTTTCCAGAAGGTTTCGAAGCTGGTCTGCGCAGGCACAGAAATAACCATATGTGCGATTCACAGTTGACTACGTCAGGGAACTATGTTTGTATGTATTTTCCAAGATCACTCCCACTTCCAGAGAACCCTGTGATTCCCACCAGTGATGGATCTTGACCCAACTTGGAACACAGACCCATCACAACCAACTTCAAATACTGATGTGGAGGGTGGGGGAATGGATCCAAGATGATGGGAGTTATAGTTCACCCACATCTAGAGAACCCTTTGACTCCCACCAGCGATGGATCTTGACAAAACTTGGCACACAAACCCATCATGACCAACGTCAAATACTGGAGGGGTTTGGGGGACAATGGTCCAGGATGATGGGAAATACAGTGGCATTATCTGAACTCAGCAAGAAGGTGGTGGCTTTCAATTCTCTTACCTTCGCTGACCCTGAGAATGTTGCAGAGATTCACAAGAGAGTCTGTTCTCAACGTCTGCTAAGGTGGCCAAGACAAAAATGGCTTCGACTAGTGTATCCTCAAGGCTGAAAACAACTGGCCTGTAAAAATAAATGTACAGTTGAGCTGCCAGCATCCTCATTACCCGTGATTGACAGGAATAGAGGGCAGGTCCTCATCAAGAAAGAGGAGTGAAGTGACTCTAGAAACCACTCTCTAATTTGGGAGAGTTAATAAATTACAATGTGGCTTCTTGTTAATTGCAGTGTTGTATAGTTGTAGTTAATAAGTATTTCGAAATGAAGGGGTTTTAGTGCACTTAACTGCTGGGTCGAGGCCAGGGTGTTTTCTGACATGAAAGGGCTATTGATGACAATTATTATACAAAAGGCAGCCCCTGGATTTAAATAGATTCAGCTACATAGCACATTATCTACATAAATCCATTTTCATGCATCTGCACGTAAGATACATGCTCACTGATGGTTTAAAACCATTTTAATTACTCTTTTAGCAAAGGTAACTTTGGGATTCTAAAGCTAAAAGGACTACTTACTTTGTCAGAAATTATCTTGTTAACCTACCTTCCAGGAAGATCAAAATGGACAGAAACTGAAGTGTTAAGAGCTTCCGCAAAAGCCAGAAGTCCCTGGTTATAAGTGAAAGGCATGCATTAACTCTAATGAAAGACTACAGAGCATTAGATGATGATAATAAGGATAAGAATAATAAATTTATCATCCATCTCTCCTTATGGTTCAAGGTGGGGTACAACATGGTTAAAGCAGCAAGGTAAAAGAAAGCACTTTTAAAATACATATATCAAATATACACAGATGAAACACAAGATTAAAATTCACCCTGCAGGTTACAATCCATTAATGCCAAGTCCACTACATAAGCAAGCTATGCCAGCTTTCAAAATGTCTCACAATTCAATATATACACCTGAAAACGTTACCCGAAGCTCTTTAAGGCAAAATGTGACTTCAGAGTCGACTCCGACTTGGAAGTATTCAAACTCTTCTGGACTGAGATGTATTTCTGTATGCATTGGCACTGGGAAATCTGGAAAGAATTGGGATAAAGGCAGAAGTGAATAATCAAGGCGTTTATTGAGACTACTTTACACAGGCTGCTATCCCAAATCATTGGCCAGAGACAGCTGTTCAATCCTTACCCATTTCGTCCTCTGTGTACGTCTTGAAACATACTTTCACAGGCGTCACAGCTAAAGTCACTTCCTCTTGACAGTTTGGGAAATGGATTAATATATCCGAAAGCTGCCTGCAAAGCACAAAAACCAAGACCATTAGCTCAGGTGATGAACTGATCCTTGTGTTTCGCCAGACATAAAAGGAAACTGCATAAAAGGCTGCAAACTCAACTACTTTCTGGCTTTTCTTCAGGTTACAGTATCATAGCATTGTCCAAATACAAAGAGGTCCAACCTGATGCTGAGAGCCAGAAATCTATATCCATAACAAAAGTGAAATATTTATATGTGTGTGGCTGGGGTGCCCACTTTCACAGACAGACTCTCACTTCCACAAACAGCTATGACCCCCACTACTGAGAAGACGCCAAAGGCCCTCCCTCCAATCACATTGTAGGATATAGTAAGCGCCACAAACATGTACAACAGCCTGACAATGTCTTCCACAAACACCATACTGCCCACCATCAAATTTAAGGCTTTCATACGGAGACACGTTCATCCTAGATTTTCTGTGTTCCCTCCACCAAAGACATCCCAGTGTTTCTGACTCTCTCCATTGGTGTGCAATTTCCATGACCCCGCCAACTGCCTCTCCCATAATCCTTTCCTACTCTTTTCTGCGGGGTACAGCAAACAGAGCAGAATTGATCAGCAACTAAACATATTGGAGGGTGTTGGGGGACTGACTTCACAGGATGGGTATTGTAGTTCACCCTGAATCAAGGCAGAGCACTGTGACCCCCGCCAACAATGGACCTCGACCACATTTGGCACATAGAGCCCCCATAATCAATGAAAAATACTGAAGAGGTTTTTTTGGGGGGAGGGGGGATTTACCTTGACTTATAGGACTTGTAGGTACTGGGATTTATTGTTCACCTACAATCAAAGAGAACTCTGAACCCCACCAACAATGGACCTGGACCTAACCTGGCACACAGAACCACCATGACCAACATAAAATACTGGAGGGTTTTGGGGGGAATTCATCTTGATTTGGGGGAGTTGTAGTTCACCCACATCCAGAGAGCACTATGAACCCAAACAACAATGGATCTGGACCAAACTTGGCACACATACCCAAATTTGAATACTGGTGGGGTTGGGGCGATGGAAAAATGACTTTTTCAAATAACCCGGGCAACGCTGGGTACCCAAGCTCGTGGAAAAGTAAAAAGGAATATAGGCAAACTAAACCAAAGGCACAAAAGCTTTCAAACTCTCCAGGCCTCCTCATCCCAAAAGAAACACAACAAAAGACAAATACAAACTCCAAAACAAAATTCCCACAATATCCCACTCCACAATCCCTCTCCGCCAACATGAGCCACCATCCCATTTAAATTATAGTAAATTCAACTAAAACAACAAAATATTGAAACACACACACACAAACACACTTTCATAGAATCATAGAATCAAAGAGTTGGAAGAGACCTCATGGGCCATCCAGTCCAACCCCCTGCCAAGAAGCAGGAATATTGCATTCAAATCACCCCTGACAAATGGCCATCCAGCCTCTGCTTAAAAGCTTCCAAAGAAGGCGCCTCCACCACACTCTTCAAGCAATAGCAATGGTCAGACTATGACATCTACTTCATGTTTAACATAACTGCATTTCAGATTCTGTGAAATCAAAAAGATAATATTTGCAATCAAGTCCTAATTGTATCATCCATTTCTCCATTTCAACTAGGATTCAAATTCTTAATCATTGGAAATTAATTTAACCATATTAGGACTCCATAATATCTTTTAAGATTTCGCCCACTTTTATTCACTTATAATTGAAATGCACTCCCCCCCCCCCATTTTTCCCCTTCCAATCTAGATTAATGTTCTTGCATTTCCGTTTTATTGCCTATTTCGAGTTTCTCCATTAGATGGCAGTAGAGATCTAGGAAAAGGCTGAAGATCTGGTCGTATTTATTTTTTCGGCACCTGGGATGAAGTTCTATCCCGAATAATAAGCCAAACAGTGTGGGAAACAATACACTTCAGGGGAGCTTTACCTCTGATTTCTGTATTCAGAATTCAGAATCAGGATTTGGTAAATAAAAATCTCATGTGGTGTGCTGCAAGACTTGAAATGGTCATAACATGGAAAAATAGGAGAGCATTTACCACTAAAGAATTGGCTACATAGGATATAGGCTATAATGCTATAGGAAAAGTTAACCTATAAATTGAGATTAGCAAAAGGAAAAAAAATAAAATGAGACCTATGTGAAAATACATGGAAGCGATTTATTATAATTATTATTAATTAAAGGTTATCATTAACTTCCTGACTGTAAGAGCTGTTCAACAGTGGAACTCTCTGCCTCAGAGTGTGGTGAAAGCTCCTTCCTTAGAAGCTTTTACACAGAGGCTGGATGGCTACCCTTCAGGGGTGTTTTGATTGTGTGTTCCCACCTGGTAGAAGGGGGTTGGACTAGATGGCCCATGCGGTCTTATTTATTTGTTGTATTTTACCCCGCTCTATCTCAACCCTGAAGGGGTCTCAGAGCAGCTTCCAAATTGGCTATAATTCAATGCTGCGTTAAGACATAAAACATTCAAAATACATGTGCCTTAAAATTACAGAATAGTAACATATAAATATATATAAATAAGCAGTTAAAAACATAGCACATAGTCCTGAAATAATAGACAAGAATCATAGAATTTTAGAGTTGGAAGAGACCTCGTCGACCATCCAGTTCAACCCCCTGCCAAGCAGGAGAATTGCATTCAAATCACTCCCGACAGATGGCCATCCAGCCTGTTTAAAAGCCTCGAAAGAAAGAGCTTCCACCACACTCATAGGCAGAGAGTTCTACTACTGAATAGCTCTCTCACACAGTTAGGAAGTTCTTCCTAATGTTCAGGTGGAATCTCCTTTCCTGTAGTTTGAAGTCATTGTGTCCTAGTCTCCAGAGCAGCAGAAAACAAGCCTTCTCTTCTGCAGGCAAACATGCCCAGCTCTTTAAACCACTCCTCATAGGGCTTGTTCTCCAAACCCTTGATCCTTTGAGTCACCCTCCTCTGGACACATTTCAGCTTAGAGTCAACATCTCCCTTCGACTGTGATGCCCAGAATTGAACATAATGTTATTGCAGGTGTGATCAGACCAAGGACGAATAGAAGAGTAGCATGACTTCCCTGGATCTAGACCAGTGATTCCCAACCTTTTATGACCAGGAACCTCTCCAACATTAGTACCAAAAGGTTTAAAAATCAGTTTTTGGTCAACTTTAAATTCGGTTTATTTGGGGTGGATTCAGAAAATTGCATTGGATAGACCACATCAGCTCGTTTCTGATACAGAACATGTGCCATCCAGTAGTCACCATCTGCTTGCCCACAGAAAACCATATTTAATATGGTTTAATATAGAGCTGATGTGGTAGTAGTAATCTTTTGTGGGTAGTCCACCTCTCCCCTCCTGACATCCCTGTTGCCTTGGCACTATAAAAGGGTTTAGAAAGACCAGTCAGTCTTGTTGCTGCGTGGTTTTGAGGCAATGGTGTAGTAATGGTGAGGCTGTGGACCATATTTTCATTCTTACGGATCAGTGGTGATCCATGGACCACAGGCTGGGAACCACTGATCTAGGCATTAGACTCCTATTGATGCAGGCTAAAATCCCATTGGCTTTTTGAGCTGCCGCATCATATTGTTGCCTCATGTTCACCTTCCTGTCCACAAGGACTCCAAGATCTTTTTCACAAGCACTGCTGTCGAGCCAGGTGTCCCCCATCGAGTATCTTTGCATTTTATTTTTTCTGCCTGTGGAGTATCTTGCATTTGTCCCTGTCGAGTCTCTTCTGACTCTATTATTCTATGATTAACGATTATCATTATTTATTTAATTTATTTACACCCCACTTTTTCTCTCCACAAAGGAGACTTAAAGTGGCTTGGAGACTGAAAGCTAAATGTGCAATGGCAAATTGAAACCACCAAAGGACCAAGAAACATGATGGATGAACAATCAGAAAAATGTGCCACAAGAATATGTAATGGATATAATTAGAAGAAGCAAGAATAATAGAATCAAAGAGTTGGAAGAGACCTCATGGGCCATCCAGTCCAACCCAAGAAGCAGGAATATTGCATTCAAAGCACCCCTGACAGATGGCCATCCAGCATCTGTTTAAAAGCTTCCAAGGAAGGAGCCTCCACCACACTCCGGGACAGAGAGTTCCACTGCTGAACGGCTCTCACAGTCAGGAAGTTCTTCCTCATGTTCAGATGGAATCTCCTTTCTTGTAGTTTGAAGCCATTGTTCCGCGTCCTGACAGCTGTATTTGTATAAAATACTGTGAGTGATAGGCAGGGGAGTATCAAACTGGGAATAGTCAGTCTAACAAGGCAATTGTATTGTGTTAAAAAAATTTATTATACAATAAATACATTAATAAAAACAGATGACACTTTCTCTTGTGGCCTTATTGTTCTGTTTCTTATCCAGCCATTGCTATTAGAGCAATCTCAACATATGTACAAGGGGGTATTTTTGGAGCGGCTTCAAAATATCAAGTGGGTTGTTTGTTACCTCGACTGGATCTTCAGGACGTTGGGGCACAGATGCTTCGCAAAGATGGCTTGCAAAGGTTCGCATTCTTGAAAAGTGAGGTGATGTGTTTTTACGACACCTGAGCAGAGAGCAGAGGGCACAGGATTCGGTGTACAGTATTGTATAAATGTCAAATAACTTCTGCATGATGTGCCATTAATTGAATTGGTCTCTTTGATATTTATTTTTTTTAGTATTATTTATAGAAATTTGATCAAGGCTAATAACAACAACAACTTTATTCTTGTATCCTGCCACCATCTCCCCAAAGGGACTCAGGGAGGTTTACACACGGCACAAGGTGCCCAAAAACAGAACATAAAACAAAACATCATATATAATAGAGTTGAATAAAATATAGGCATATAAAACAACTTAAGACTCAATTAAAAACAGTGCTCATCAACCAATGGCAGTAAGCTACTGTAAACATGGCTAGGCTGTAAACACTAGGACAAGGGGCTGGGATAAGTGCAAAGCTGTATCCATGGAAGGAGGGCATGGGATGAAGTGCAAGGCTGCATAACTATTGTGTAGATCAACTAGGGACTAGGCATTCTCAAAAGCTTGTTTGAACAGCCAGGTCTTCAGGTCCCTATAGAAAGAGGACAGTGTGGGAGCCTGCCTAATCTTCCTGGGGAGGGCGTTCCAAAGCCGGGGGGCCACTATCGAGAAGGCCATCTCCCTCGTCCCCACCAACCGAGCTTATAACAGTGGGAGGACCAAGAGGAGGGTTTCCTTGGCAGATCTTAAAGCCCGCACTGATGTATGGGGGATGTGGTAATGAAGATAGGCAGGACCCAAACCATTTAGAGCTTTATAGGTAATAACCTGGACTTCGAATTGGGACTGGAAACTTATTGGCAGCCAATGGAGCAGCGTTAGTAAGGGTATCATGTGCTCCCTATAGCTAACTCCAGTTAATAGCCTAAAGTTAGCTGCCGATCTTTGCACCAATTGCAATTTCCGAGCTGTCTTCAAAGGCAGCCCCACATAGAGTGCATTGCAGTAGTCCAGTCTAGATGTAACTAAGGCATGGACCACTGTGGCCAAGTCAGACTTTTCAAGGTATAATCGCAGCTGGCGCACAAGCTTTAACTGTGCGAAGGCTCTCCCAGCCTCTACCGACACCTGAGCTTCAAGCGTCAGCGCTGAGTCCAGGAGGACCCCCAGACTGTGGACCTGTGTTCTCAGGGGGAGTGTGACCCAGTCAAGCACAGGTAGCCACGCTATACCCCGATCAGTGACTACAACAGGTCCAGCTTTTATGACTACTACTACTACTACTACTACTAATAATAATAATAATAATTTTATTTCTTACACACCTCTCCTTGATGCAAGGCACAAAATAGATAAAATGCTTCTTCATAAATTATTAATTTAAATACATATATTAAATCTATTTATATGAATTACATATATTAAAACAATAACTTCTTATCCGTCTCTCTTTGAGGCGTGAGCTGGGGCACAGCAGTTAAAACACATCCTCATAAGCATTACAGAACTTAAAATACATACATTGAAATGTATTTCTATAAAATAAATATATTAATGATGATAATAATAATAATAATTTTATATCTTGTCCCCCCTCCTTGAAGCACAAGACAGGGTGCAACATAGTTAAAACACTTCATCATTAAAAATGTAAAATACATATATTGAAACATATTTCTATGAAATAAATATATTAAAATAATAGGTCAGGCATTTAAATACATTTAATTATATCGGCCACCTTCAGACCCAAATAATTGACTGACCATGTCTGCAGAAAAGCTGAAAAACAATATGGCAGGCCCTAAAGTTGGTGTAAATGGTGCATTTCTCTACATTCCTTTCCAGTGTGTTCAAGGAACGAAACAGAGGCAGAACTGCCTGAAATAAGGAGAGTATTATTAATACAGACATCTCCTTAAGATGAAAGCTAGCATTGCAATAGACTCATTACAGTGTTGAGAGGGCAACGGTAATAAAATGTGTATTTAAAAATTCTCATTGAGAATACTTACTGATATAAGCTACATTCATTAAACAGATAACATTAAGGGTAACAAAAGGTTCCAGTAAGAATGTTTCCAGGATTAATAAGCAGGTCAAAAAGCCCACCAACAAATACTATTTTTGATAACATTTCCTTTAATGTGTTCAGAAAGAATGGGGAAATAATATTTATTTTCAACAGTTTAATCGCTTCAATAAATGTACATTTTGCTAGATGATACTTTTACATAATATACAGTTAGTTTTAATTGATCTGCCATTTGGCACTCATTTGTTTGAAGTCGTCTCTTGTTCATACTTTTAAATGGAACTGTTCTTGTAGCAAGCAATAGGATATACTGTCTTACCTTTATTACTAATTTGCATCTAAGCGGTATGTGCTTTTTATACAGATCTGTTTCAGATGTATTTCTCCAGGAATAGTGTTGAAAGAACATAGAGGAAAAGAAGATGCAGGCATAGGCTGATCTGGAGGAATTCACAGACCGCAAGGAAAGCTGTGGATACCATTAAATATTATTATTATTATTATTGCCCCACTTTTTCCATCAGGAAATAATCTCAGCATTGAGACACCGATGAACAAAAATATGTAGCAATGCAGGTTTGCTTGCTCTCAGAATTGCAGAAACAAAAATACTGACAAATTTAACATTTGGGGCAAGAATCGTGGTCAGACACAGGTCTCTTGGGTGAGAAGGGCTCTGGAAATATATTAGTATCATTACAATTATACATTGTTCATGTCCGAATGGACAAGCCAATGGAGTGTGGTCAAGATGGCAAAAGTTATTCAGTATTATTCATATAAACTAAATTCTAATCTTGCTTTTAATAATAATAATCATCATCATCATCAATGTATTCCTCCCCATCTCTATTCTCTCGTACTCCATATTGTTTTAACTCTGTTTTTAAAAATTGCATTTTAATGCCTAAACTTACATTTTACTTATCTTTTATTGTTCATTTTAATGCTAGTCATTGACTGGAGATAGATAGATAGGATTCATGAGGAAGAACTGAAAAGCTGGGAGAAGTTGCAGCAATTTCCTTTTGTCTGAAACAACTGGGAAAAGCAAGATTTTTTCCTCTCTTCTTCCCTGGTGACTGAGGCCCCTTCTACACTGCCACATAAAATCCAGATTATCTATGTTGAACTGGATTATATAATAATAGTAATAGTAATAATAATAATAAAAACTGTATTTATATCCCACCCTATCTCCCCAAGGGGACTCGGGGCGATTTACAACAAGTATCTGCAAACATTCAATGCTGTAAAGAAACTGAACAAGGACAAAATAAGCACCCCACCTAGATCCCAAAAAACAAACAAATAAAAAATGACACATTATCAAAAGTTAAATGATATCCCAAGTGATGTTGCAGAAGACACGATAGAGCTGTCTTCCTGGCTGCCCTCTCTTCACTATGTGGCCTCAAAGCGGCAGTTGGAGTTGGCAGTGTAGACTCATATAATCCAGTTCAAAGCAGATGATCTAGATTATCTGCTTTGATAATCTGGATTATTTGGCAGTGTAGAAAGAGCCTGAATGGACTGCTAACTACTTCTGCACATAATAAAAAATAATAATATAATATCTACATGAGAAGCATAACAAATAATAATGATGTGTCATAGAAGTTTCCCTCTGTCTTTTTCAGCCAGTTCATCACTTCGATTTTCACCTCATCGTCATCAGAAAAGTGTTTTCCACCAAGGTGTTCCTTCAATTTAGTGAACAGATGATAAGTTACTGGGTGCGAGCTCGGGGCTGTGATAGGGGTGGCTTAAAACATCCCAGCCAAATGAAGTCAACAACTCTTCTGTTGCATGAGTGGTGTGCGGACGCGCATTGTCACGAAGGAGACAGACTCCTGTCATCAGTATCCCACATTTATTTTGGATGGCTCTGGGAAGTTTCGCAATGAATCACAGCAGCGTTCATGCCCTTAGCATTTAGGTAGCGTATTACAGTGCGAACTTCACACTTGGAGGGAAATTGAATGAAGATGCTCATCTGTAACCTTCGCCACAACGCCAGTTGATAAGCTACTGACTGGCACTGCTTGTTCGCTTCTGCTGGCTTCCCATTACACAGCAGTGATACCAACTTCCCCCGTGAAAATTCCCCACAAGAGCTACATGCCTTGTAACCTTACTTTCCAGATAACCTTCGTACATACACCATCTTTCTCCATCCCATGGAGCAAAGTGTGGTGGGTGACCACACTCCTCTGGTCTGCTACACTTTTTGGATTGTAATAAGGTCTCTTATATAGCAATTTTTCTTGCTGATGTTGCTCCAAAGTTGTAAATGAATGATGGATGTTTTTTCCAGCTAAACTCCATCAGTTCCTAGATGTTGATTCTTCTTAATTGGTGTTGGTAAATGTAAGGTGCCTTGTGTTGACTAATTTCTTAACATAAGGAATCTTGTAAACATTTCCTTAATTTAAAGAGCAATTGTAACTAATAATGTAAAGACGTTGTTTTCCCACCAAAAGTTAAAGTCAGCAATGTCAACAGTTAATCATTGTCAGTTTTCATTAGCAACTTTTAATTACAGTTCCTGAGTATAGCTGTTTTCCAGGCCTCAATATTTTAGAATTGTGTCTTCAACCCAATTAGACCCCAACCATACTTCTTTCATCCCATTTCATTCAAACCATACATCATATATTTATCCATCACAGCCACTGAAGTAAACTAAGGACAACGGGGGGAAATTGGGAGGATAGAGAAACTGGGACTTTTGAAAAGGAGCTAGAAAACTGGGAGGGCAGAGGATTCCTGGGAGTTGTTCCCTACCAAAAAGGGACAACTGTTATTTTCCCCCTGTTCCAATCCTCCTTGAATCCCAGGTTGCCTTCCTTAGACTCAGAAAAGAGACTTACTCCTTGTTCCACGGGATCAAACCAAAATTCCTCGCTGATGCGCGCCACGGCATGGATGGCTCTGCCAAAGACTGTACAGAAAAGGGTTGGAAACTGGAATTACATTCTCATCCAACATACCATTTTCTTTGTATGCCTTTAAAGCTCCCCCCCCCCCCCCATTTTAGCCTTTGATTCTCATTTGATTCTTTCTTCTTAGATGACAGTGGGGTGGTAAGTACTGAATTATACAATGATACTGATATTTTTGGAAAATGTCCTAGACATTCCTATTCAGAATAGTTTCCTTGCCTTCCTGATGCGTGTACCTTAAATTACATAAGGAACCTTCAGGAAATGTGTCTCAAAGGAAGGAAAACCTAACTATATTTATCTATATCTATCATCATCATCTATATTCTATAATGTATATTTGTATGTATGTAGCGGAAGGTGGTGCAGCAATGTATTTTTCTGGCTGGGCCTCTGACTTCCACACACCGTGACCCCCACAAATGACAGATCTGGACCAAACTTGGCACAGACCCCCTCATGACCCTCTTTACATCCTGGTGTGGTTTGGGAAGGATGGACCACGGATGATGGGATTTGTAGTACTGTCACCCGATTAGGTTCCAACTTGGACAAAGCACTGTGACTCCCATGAATGACAGACCTGGACTTGGCACACAGCCTCCCCATGACCAACAGAGCATACTGGAGGGGTTTTGGGGAGGATGGACCATGGATGATGGGATCTGGAATACTTTCACCTGCTTTGGATCCAACTTCAACATACCACTGCGACCCCCACGAATAACCAACTGGGACCAAACTTGACAGAGAAGCCTCATGACAAACTGAACATACTGCAGGGGTTTAGGGGGAGTTGACTTGGATTTTTGGGAGTTGTAGTTCACCCTGTATCCAGAGGGCACTGAACCCAACCAACGACGGACCTGGATCAAACTTGGCAGACAGACCTAATAAATCATCAAACTGATATTACCTCTCATCCAAAAACAAACAAGGCCTTCTTCAAATAACCCAGGCATTGCCGAGTACCATATATATATGTGTGTGTGTGTGTATAGACACACATCCTTCTATGTGAAAGGCAATGCAATGAACTCAACCAACACTGGGGCTCCTGGTCGTCGCGTTTCCCATGTCCAGGACCCTATGGAGGGCAAAGGCAGCCTTTCCCAGTCAAAAAGCGGGGGCCCCTTCAACTTCGGGCGCTACCTTTTATATGGGCGCCCACCAAAACGCATTTCATGGTGAGAAAAGGGCGCCAAAGGCCCTTTAGATGGCAGCCTCCCTTCAGAAAGGACTGGCGCAAAAAAGGCGGGAAACGCAGCCTGAGAAGAAGAAAAGAACACAAGAGGCCCAAGAGGTTCGGGAACTCTCCAAGCGCGGAGACTATATACTTCCGGTTCTCATTCGCGTGCGAGGCTCATAATGGGAAACTGCCGAAGAGACTTCCCTCCGAAGAGGTTCCGCCACGCAACCGGGCCGGAAGTGTATGCCAGTTAGTTGGTTTGTCGCCTCTTTGGAGAGCTCCGATACACGGATGTTCGCTTTTTCCTCACACAAGGCCTCGTTGGCCCCTCCTCTCCAGCCGTCTGAGAGTGGTGCATTCTGGCTCTTCCTTGTGCGCTCCGCTTCCGGACCTTGGGTTTGCCAGACCGGAAGCGGCGAAAAGAAGAGCCTAAGGGCGCGGCGCTGCGTCGGGGGCCAAGATGGTGAGTGCTTCGGGGGGAGGGAGAGGACAAGGCGGAGGAGGGAAGCGCCTCCTGCCCATTGGACGCCCTCTGCATGGGCTGGACTGCAGCCCCCATCATCTTCAAACATTGGTGCTGCCAGTCAGGCACCTCAAGGGTAGAATAGGGAGCTCGGTATATATATATACATACACACACACACACACATACTATACAGGCCTGAAGAAATGTCACAAATATTATAACGACTAGAAGAAATGTCAGAACTACCAGTGAGGCTTTTGAGGCCCTTGCTGGAGCGAGGTGGGAGGCAAGGGGAAGAAAGGGGAAAACCAAATGCATTTCAACAAGGACCAATGTAAGATACGACACTTAGGCAGACAAAATGAAATGCAAAGATACAGGATGGGTGATGCCTGACTCTGCAACAGAACATATGAGAATGATCTTGGAGTCTTCGTGGGCAACGAGCTGAACATGAGCCAAGAGTGTAATGAAGCAGCTCAAAAAGCTGATGGGATTTTGGGTTGCATCAAAAGGGGTAGAATGTACAGATTGAGGAAAGTCATGGTGCCTCTCTATTCAGCTTTAGTCAGACCTCTTTACCTGGAATAACCCTGTGTCCAATTCTGGGCACCACAGTTCAAAAGGGGTGACAATAATAATAAAGACAATAATGATAAAGATAATATAATAATAAAGGTGATATAAAATAAATATAGTAATAACTATAATAATAACTATAATAATAATAATAATAACGCCTATAATATAATATAACCCTAAACGGTTCAGGCCCAATTTACCTATCTGGCTGCATTGTCTTTTACCAACCTGCCCAATCATTAAGATCTTCCAGAGAGACCCTTCTCTTGTTTCCGCCGCCACAAATATGGTTGGTGATGACTAGAGAGGGCCTTCTTGGTAGCTGCCCCGACTCTTTGGAACTCCCTTCAAGTTGAGATTAAAACTGCCCTCTCCCTGTTGTCTTTCAAGAATCAGTTGAAGACCTACCTGTTCAAGCAAGCTTTAGACAAATGAATTCAGTTGCTAATAATAATAACCTTTCTTTATATCCCGACACCATTTCCCAAAATATACTATTTTATTGGTGAATCTCCACAATAATCGTAATTGGTTTTCAATGTTTTAAATGCTTTATATTTATTTATATCTTATTTCTGAACATTTTTATGCTTTGTGATTTTTGTCTTGTGTTTTATGTTAATTGTGCTTTAATTTGCATTGTATTATATTGTGAGCCACTTTGGGTCCTGTTACAGAGAAAAGCGGGGTATAAATACAAAATTATTAATATTATTATTATTAATATAATAATATAATAAATATAATAATAACAATGACTCTAAGTTGGAAGATGTCCAGAGGAGGGTAAGTAAAAGGATCAAATGTCTGGAGACCACGAATAATTCCTCTGAGGAGTATCTTAAAGAGCTGAGCTGTTTAGCCTGCAGAAGAGAAGGTTGAGAGGAGACATGAGAGACTAGTATAAATATTTGAAAGGATGCTCTAAGGACGAGGGAGCAGGCTGGAACTAGGACTCGGACCAGTGGGTTCAAATGACAAGAAAGGAGATTCCACCTGAATAGGGACAGAAAGTGAGGCGAAATCTTCCAAAAGGGCACAGATAGCAAACAAATGTCACAAAGTGTTAACCCTTCCCTATGCTATCCGAAACTAACAAATACTTATATTTAGCTGGAGTTACAGTTAAAAATATACCTGTTCTGACTTACATACAAATTCAACTTAAGAACAAACCTACAAAACCAATCTTGTTTGTAACTTGGGTATTGCCTGTATATCTAAATCCAAACCCCACTCCCTTGACTAAAAAACCTAACTGCAGCCTTCAAGATGTGACTGAATCCCAACTCCCATGAGCTCTAGTCATTATAATGTCGAATGAGGAGGAACACAGGAGTTGGGGTCCAGCATCTGGAGGGCCACATCAAATGACATGGCGGGCTGCATTCAGCTGGCAAGCCTTTAGCTTGATACAAGTGATGGACAGTTTAGATGCACCGTAAGCAGAGCCAGATTAGCTTCCAGGATGGAGGATTGTAGAGGCTGGGTTTTCATCCTTCATGGCTACTGACTGCAAGGCTGGGGATCATGTTGCCCTCTAGAAGTTGTTGGACTGCTTCCCAGCCCCTTTAGACAGCATAGGCAAGGGTGAGGGATTCCGGGTGGTGTGGTCCAAGAATAACTAGAGACTGTGCGGCCCACCTCTGTTACTTTACACTAATCTGCAACCTGTTTCCTTGGTCAAAGCATGAACTTCAGGTGAAGAGTAAGGAATAGGAACTTGCGTGTGGAAGTCCCTTGCTTGAATCTCATCATTGCTATTAAGAAGCTGGATTAATAGCTTCTCTTTAGTTCAGCAAATTTACTCCACAGGAGCTATAGCTCAGTGCTAGTTCTCCAATCCTGCATGCCCTACATTAAGTCCATGTTTTCAGTGAAAAATCTTCAGGGCCAAAAGAGGAACAACCTCATCTCTATCTGATCTCTTGTTGTGTTGCTAGCCAGAATGGTAAATATTGAGCTATGGTATTTGGATGTTATTATTAATATTGAGACTCAAAGCAGTTCACAAATAGCCTCTTAGCTGCTGTATTGGCCCTCTGTTCCTCATCTCCAAAGAATCTGAACATACCTCTATGATGCAACTACTTCCTTAGGTTATGTGTAGCCCATCACCAATGTACTAATACTTTTGAAAAAGAGGAGAAAAAGAACAGTGTAGAAAGATAGGAGAAGTTATTTTTCCTCCATGAGTTTTCAGTCTGAAATACATGCTCATTCATGAACCTATTGATTTAGGAAGAAGTTCCTTTGGTGTTTTTTGTTTTTGTTTTGTTTTTGTTTTTTGGAGTTTACTAGCCGCTCCACTGAAACTGGCCACTGCAAAGGACTAGTTTTTCTACACATGAAATATATTTGCAGACCTGAGTGACAAATATGCAAGGGTTGAAAGAAAAATTGCCATGCGTTGCAATTATCTTCATGAGTCATTTGCTTGCCAAATCCCAGCGCAGTTGGCATCCGCTTGGAAGTCCTGAGGTTTGACTTTGCTTCTTCTGACTCTGCCCTGCTGCACAGTGACCTTCTTGTCGTACATAACCCACTTGCATATATGGTATTTTTATGGCATAACTTTTCTCTCATAATGATGCTTGGCTAACCATTTGGAAGCATTATGATGAATCCATGCAATCAGCCACCATGACCTGGGTGTCTTCTAGCTGCAAAATTCTAGGAGTAATGGAGGGAAGGAAAGAAAGGGGCAGTGAAAGGAGTATTTTGTCCTGAGTAGGAACAGTTTTTTCTCAGAGAGGCAGCTTGAATCTTGTTCTTGCCTCCAGCTTAGCAGTTCCATACAAGTAGTGTCACACTACATCAGTTATGAGTAATATCTTACTCAAGATGGGGAAGATAGTCTGCGTCTGCTGTCCTTAGGATGTATAGTCAAAATCCCATGGATGTCAATTTTCCCCAATTTTAACCTGCCACCACTCAGACCAGGTTTGATAATAGTAGGATAAGAAAGATAATATTGTGAATTAAAATCTACTTCCTATGAAAACGTATTTTTGGTTGTGATTAAATTGAAGTACATCTGGGAAGAGTTGTTCATGAATGAAGATCCTGTTTGTGCTGTGATGTCTATGAGAAAGTCTGGTGTGAATATTATTCATATTATTGGGAATTGATCAGTGCCATTGGCATCTCCATGCACACAGCTCTTTTGTCCACTGAAGACACTGTAGGGAAGCTATGGTGTCCAGGGAGTTCTGATTTCCTCACTGAAGCTCCCGCACCTGCATGGCCTTGGGGAAGGAAGGGGTATAAGGCTTAGTGGCACCTTGGAAACCCAGAGAGATCATGACCATGGCGTTCAGGTAATGCTGGAACAGCTTTTCCATTAGTCCTTTTGGCACCCGTTGCATAAATCAGATTTATTTAACATTTCCTTTCCTAACATTCAAATTTCATTGATGATTTGCCTATTAATTTGGCTTGTGATGTTTCCTTTTCTGTTGCTTCCTTTTTGATTTAACATTGTTCATGTCTCACCCTGTTTTTTTTCACCTCCCCACCCCTTCTGTCTGCAATCAACTTCTTCATCCAATAAGGCTGGGCACAGAGTAAGTTGGTTCATCTTGCCCTCTTGCTAATGTGGGTGACTACTCTCTTCGTGGCTGCTAAAATACGCCATTATATTGAAAGGATGATGCGTGTCAACCGCAAATGATGCTGCCTGTAAACTTTTGGGTGTCTGGTTGAGCTCTCACATTTGAAATGCTTCATTGAGATGTTTTGATCTAAACTGAAACAAGTCTCTGGTGTTCCTCATAATGAAAGGAATGAAAGGGGCAGCAATTGGAGGCAAGAATAAATGAATAAGGCCCTGTCCACTGTTACCAATTAATCCTTGCCACCGGCAACATTGGGAGTCTGAAGTGTTTTGGACTTGAATTCCCAGCCAGTGTAGCCGGTAGTCAGGAATTCTGGGAATTGGAGTTCAAAAGATCTGGAGGGCCAAGAGATTTAGGGTCCATGTGTCAGTTCATGCAATGCATTGGTGGTGGGACTCATGTGACCCTCCGGAGGTCGTTGGACTCTGGTTCCCAGTATACATCAACATTGGCCTAGCTGGCTATAGCTGCTGGGAGTTGCCACCCAGTCACATCAGGAGGACAGCATGTTCTCTATCTCTGCCTTGCAGGTTTGGCCAGAGTGCCATACGAACTCTGACTCTGCCCTTGAGCATGTCCCAGAATCCTGTGTGACTCTCAGGCCTCCTAGGCAAGGCAATCAAAGTGTGAAAAAGTCCCTGAAGGAAGACCGTGATAATGGAGACCAAGGCTTGCATTAATGTTGTCTGGTTGCCTGCAAATGTCTTCTCACATGAGTACTTTGACATTCTTATAGTCAGTGAGCAGGATTGGGTGGCTGCTTTATATCTGGCCTGCAAAGGTAGGTGCATATCCTCACTTTCTTCTGCTGAAGGTAGGATAATGCATGGTTGTGGCACCTTTGTCCCTCCAGGTGTTTATGACTTTGGTTTCCAAAGCTAGTGGTAAGAGCTGGTAGTCCAAAATACCTGGAGGGCCAATGGTTTCTCGCCCCTGGTGTGATCCCTGTCAAATTTGCCTACAGCAACCCACATTTCTTTCATTCTAACTCATTTGAGACTTTGTATATTGTTACTGGAAGAATCTGGGGCCTAAAGTTTTGATAAGGTTAAGTAAAGAAGGGTCAATGTACGAAGTTCAGTTCAGCCATAGAACCACTGAGCTAGAGGTGTACTAAGCTCTCACTCTCAAAGAAGAGAGATCTTCAAGCAAGAGTCAGAGCAGCTATCGGTAGGAAATACTCTAGCTCTGGATTTCCTTCTTCCGTTTGGACTCAGTGACTCACAACTAAGATACCACTCCTCTGAAGCGTTATGGGGCTGCCTTGGGACTAGACAAAAGCACTTCCTAACTCCCAGCACTTTGTTGAATCTGTTAATAAATGGGAGTGCCTTGATAAACCCTTGACCTGAGTGTCTGCTTTTCCCTCCTTTCGTAAGTTGGTGTTAGTGTTGGGAGACCTTCATATCCCTCACCGCTGCAACAGTTTGCCAGCAAAGTTCAAAAAGCTGCTGGTTCCGGGGAAGATCCAGCACATTCTCTGCACTGGAAACCTCTGCACAAAGGAGAGCTATGACTATCTCAAGACGTTGGCTGGTGATGTTCATGTGGTTAGAGGGGACTTTGATGAGGTAATGAGGGCTTGGGCAGGGGGTGGAGAGGGGGAGAAATTATCTGTGTTTTATGGCTTGTGCTGTCGAATTAGACCAAAATCCCCTGTTACTCAGTGTTGTGTAAAAGTGCCATAGGAAGACTGATCCAGCGTTCATCCAGAGGTTCTGGCAGATGAGGAAGCCATTCCGCATCTTGTCTGTGAGGACATTGCTGAATGCACCTTTGATTTCTCCCAGCCTTTGAATGGTGGTGGAAGCGGGCGCCGTTGCAGTTAAACAGTGCTAATAGTAACCATTAATTTGTTAATGGCTCCTCTCCATGACAACCAAAAAAGACAGCCCTCTGTATGTTGGACATCCATAGAAACAAGATATTGGCCATAATTTGTTATGGAACTATTGTCAGAGCTAGCTCCTTTGGCTGGGGGGTGGGGAGGGGGTGGGGGTGTATTTTTGTTGGCCAGATCAAAATCTAGGACTACTCTCTTGGATCAGATAGTTTTAGTAGCAGTTTTAGTATAGTGCTGCTGTTTGGATGCAAAATAAAAGTATAAAATAACAGAAGAGTCCTCTGTTTATGGACCTTACACAGTGTCTTTACATTCCAGAATTTGAACTACCCTGAACAGAAAGTTGTCACTGTTGGGCAGTTTAAGATTGGTCTGATCCACGGCCATCAAGTGATCCCATGGGGAGATGTGGCCAGTCTGGCGTTGCTGCAGAGACAGTTTGATGTGGACATCCTGATTTCTGGGCACACACACAAATTTGAGGCCTTTGAGCATGAAAACAAGTTCTATATCAACCCTGGATCAGCAACGGGAGCATACAGTGCTTTGGAAAAGTAAGTCACAAGTGGCATAATACTTTTTAGGTGGCAGTTTGGCTATCTTGTTTACATTCTAACAGCTGAATTGACATGTAGCTGCCTACCTTTGGCCATGAGGTTTTATTTATGAATTGAAATGTTGACTTGGGCTTAACAATATTGTTGAATACTTAAGACATAGTATTTTGCAGTGGGGAATATCTTTATGCACTCAAAACAGCTTCTAGTAGGGCTAAATACTGTTCAGTCTGACAATATGGTGAATTCACATCAAATTCAAAGATACCGTATTTCATTGCTTAATAGTTACATTTTTCTTGGAAAAAAGCTGGTGTAACTATTATGCAGTGAAAAAAATCGGTGTCTTGTTTGTCAAATTCTATTAAAAAAAATAGACGTCTTACCCGCGAGACAATAGAGGGAGAGAAATCAGTGTTCAAACACTTTGAGAAGGGAAGGAAGCAGAGAAGAGCTCCGAGTTCATTTGAACTGTCTTTGGGAGGGAAGGGAGTTTCTCAGTTTTATACCACTGCGACAATTATGCAAGGAAAAGAAAACATTTTGAGATCTCAAAAATGAGGGCAACTTTTATGCGAGGAAATACGGTATATTTTGCTATGCCACAAGCCAAAAGAAGATGCAGCTAATCAATAAAAAAAATACATGTTATTACATTTTTCTACTTTCAGTAAGAGCAGGGCAGATGGTGCTTCTTAAAATTCTAGTTCTAGGGGAAAGAATCCTAAAACATGTTTTAAAACAATGCAAAGAGACATTTCTAGACTTCGTGTTTTGGAATTCTTTGTTCTAGTGCAGGGAGTCCTGGGGCCAAACATTGTTCCCTGGACTTTCTGAAGTTCTCGTAGAACGAAAGGGACTTCCACTGAACTGAGCCCAAAGGACATCTTAAGAGCTGTTAATAAAACAATTCAAAATCTTTCTCCCCACAGCAACATCATACCTTCTTTTGTTCTGATGGATATCCAAGCTTCCACCGTCGTAACCTATGTTTATCAGCTAATTGGTGACGACGTCAAAGTCGAAAGAATCGAGTACAAGAAATCTTAAAGGACGTCCCTCAACCTGCCTGTTCCTTGGCCTCTTTTTCCTTTTTACCCCAGTATGCACCTGAAGTTCCAGTGTTTGCGATATTTACATATGAAACTATTTGTCTTACTTTGTTATAGACATGCAAGTATTGATTTCTTGAACGCTAACAAAAACCTGCCTTTGCTTGATTCTTTTCTTTGCCTAAGTCCTGCTTGTAAATAGTATTCAGGGTGCACAGAAAAGCGATGTATTCACATGGATCATTCTGTATCTTATAATAAACACTTCTCTAACCTTATGCTGGTTGAGTCAAATATATCAAAAATGGAAACATGATCATTTTGACAACAAATCTGCCAAGGAAACAGAATTTGTGTTATTTTGTAGAGAAATCGTACAGTTTACATCAGGGGTCCTCAAACTTTTAAAGCCGAGGCACAGTTTACAGTCCCCGAGACTGTTTGTGTGAGGGACTGGAGTATAGTTTGGGGAGGCGGGACCGAATCAATTCCTATGCACTGCACATATATTATTTATAGTGCAAAGAAACATGAAAGAGCAATACATTATTTGAAAAGGAGTTTTAACCAACATAAATTTACAAGTATTTCAAAGTTCAGCAAAGTCAAAAATTGGCACCTGTATCCTTTTAAAAATGCACAGCACTAAACAAGAATTTTCCTCAAATGTCCAAAGGTGCCACCGTTTTGGGTCAGATTTATTCAGAAAAATTACAAATCGAACAGGACACTACAAAGGGGCTTCTTCATGGTTTCTTTGAATCACAAAACTTTGTATCTCTGCCTGAGAAGAGTCTCTTCGGAACCTTCTCAAATGACTAGGCAGAAATATTTTGATGGTAACCCCACCCTCTCCCCTGAGGTTATAAAGGAGGCTTTTGCCACCAAATCCCTCTTAGACAGAGGGAGTATCACATTCGAGATGGAAATGTTGACGCAGATTTGTACACCTCCCGATGGCAGAAGATCTCTGACTATGGCAGCAGGCTGAATTCATCATCCAGATATACATGCACTAAAATTGACAGCCTGGTGGATAGGTTTCTAGCTGCAATACTAGAGTCTATACCATGTAATTCAAGCTGCACAGAAACCATTGCCCTAAGTAATGGTTTCTGAAAGGGGCATGCATACCATGACTTTCTCTCGACCAGGTGGGTCGAATCCTTGTTAGCTCTGTCTGACTTTTATGGCCTATCTGTCCAACAAGAGACTATCACTTATGCTGATGAAAGTCTTTTTGCAGCAGTCTTTTTATTTGTAGCGCATGGGTAGACCCTCTTGTTTTTCTTGGTATTTTGTCAAAGTCTTAGTTAAGGGCTACAGAAATGGTTCCCAACCTTTTTTTGACCAGGGACCACTTTGACCAGGCAAGGATCACTCTCCAACATTAGTACCAAAAGGGTTACGAATCAGTTTTTGGTCAACTTTACTTTCGGTTTCTTTATTTGGGATGCTGATTCAGAAAGTTGCATTGGATACACCACATCAGCTCTAGTTTCTGATACAGAACATATGCCATCTAGTAGTCACCATCTGCTTGCCCACAGAAAACAACATTTAATAATCTAGAGCTGATGTAATATTTAATTGGTAGTCAGCCTCTCCCCTCCTGGCATCCCAGTTACCTCGGTACTGTAAGAGGGTTTTGCAAGACCAGTCACTTGTTGCTACGTGGTTTTGAGGCAACGATGTAATTGTGAGGTCACTGGCCATATTTTTGTTCTTACGGACAAGAGTTTACACCGATGACGTGGTATGCATTGTGGAGGACCCAATAAGCAATATTAAGGATTGGCTAAAGAAAATCGAAAATTTCGGGAACCTGGCGGGCTTCAAATTGAATAAACAAAAAACCAAACTATTGGTTAAGAATATGGATCAAAAGGCAAAAATCTCACTACAAGAAATTTCAGGGATAAAAATTGAAAACAAAGTAAAGTACTTGGGGATTACCATTACAAAAAGCAATATAAACTTAATAAAAAACAACTACGAACCATTATGGAAGAAAATACAAAAGGACATGAACAGATGGAAGCACCAAAATATATCACTATTAGGACGGATTGCACTAGTCAAGATGACGATACTCCCTCAAATCTTATTTGTATTCCAAACATTACCAGTGCTCAGAAACGATTTCTTATTTAAAAAATGGAACTCGGATCTGACCAAATTTATTTGGAAAGACCGTAAACCAAGAATAAGCCTAAAGATTTTAACAGACGGAAAAAAAAGGGGCGGCCTAGGTTTACCAGATTTTAAAGCCTATTACGAAGCATGTAATCTGGTAGCTATAAAAGAATGGGCCACATTAGAGAATACTCCATTATTAGTGCTGGAGGGACACGATCTCAGAGCCGGCTGGCACAGATATTTGTGGTACAACAAGAGAAGGGTGGAAAAAGGCTTTAGTGACCATTACATAAGGGCGGCACTAATGAGAACATGGGAAAAATACAGGCCCAGACTATTCAATAGGACGCCTCTCTGGGTCTCCCCGGTAGAAGCCAAACACAAAAGGGGGTTAGAAGAAAAGAATTGGTTAACATATCAACAATTATTAAAAAAAATGATGAGGATGGGAACCTAATGTTAAAATCTCTAGATGAATTAAAACAGATAAATAAAAAAATCTCATGGCTAAACTACTATCAAATCCATCAAGAATTTAAAGAAGACGAAAAACTTGGTTTTTGCCAAGACCAAGGGTTATGAGATTTGGTAATGAAGAAGAGGAAAAAATTGATCAAAATCCTTTATCAACAACTACTCACATGGGCTACTGAAGGGGAGCAGGTTAAAAATTGTCAGGTGAAATGGGCAAAAGATATTGGGCATAGCATATTAACAAAACAATGGGAAGAAATTTGGAACACCAAGATAAAATATACAGAAGCCAGTGATTTGCGTGAAAACTGGTATAAGATGTTCTTCCGCTGGCACTACACCCCCGAAAAGCTATCCAAATTTAATAAAAACGCATCAAGTAGCTGCTGGAAGTGTGGGAAAGAAAAAGGAACCTTCTACCATCAATGGTGGTCCTGCAGGCTAGTAAAAAAGTACTGGAAGGAGATACATAAAGCAACTCAAAAAATTCTAAAGACTAGATTCCCTCAAACACCAGACACATATTTATTAGGAATTACAAATGCAAAGCTAGATAGAAACCAAGAAAAAGTGCTCTTCCTGCTTAGTACAGCTGCAAGAATACTTCTCGCTGGAGTATGGAAGCAAAAAGAAATCCCAAGCTTGGAAGAATGGACCATAAAAGTGTTTGACATCATTCAAATGGATTGCCTTTCGCAAAGATTAAAAGGAACACACAAGTACACAAACTGGTCAGGTTTCAAAGACTTTATTAAATCTAAGGAGGTTCCATTACAAATAGATCTGTCTAGCATCTGAATAAGGAAATTACGGAAATCTGAGTTGGCAAAAACAACGAGAGATAACAAGAGACGAAGACTCCCGGAAGACTATTGGGAAGCGACATGTTTTGATGTGCACGGTTTTTGTTTAATTATTTATCTATTTTTTTTTCTTTTTTCTTCTTCCCTCTTCCCCCCCCCCCCCCCGATCCTTTACTTCCCCCGTCCACTCAACCCCCTCCCTCTTCCTCCCCCCACCCTTCCTGACCCCTTTTCCTGGATTTATATATGTACAAACTCTAATAAAGATCATTTAAAAAAAAAAGAAAACAGCTGTTCTCTGCGCTCAGAAGGAATTCTCCTTATCTGTCATTCCACCACAATATAACCTGATATAACTTTTTTTAACCAAAGGTAGTTTCTGCTTTCCATATTAACCAGGGGACAATTCTCCTGGCCCTATTTTGGGTATCCGTCAGCCGCAATAGAAAGGTTGCTACACTGTCTGGATGTCAGGAGAGCTTTGCTAAAATTTGTAATTCATATGTCTATCTTAAAATTGGGATATAAAATGATAGTGTTACTCCATGATTTTATTCAACTCTCAACTTTTTTTTTTACAATGCGAATTATCAATAAAGAAAAAATTCTTAACACTGAACAGCATGAATAAATCACTGGGCAGAACTTGTTTGTTTTCTGCAGATGGTTGTAATGGTCTTTGAGTTGTCAGCCTCTTGTCGAATGTTCATGCTTTCTGTAACATTCCTGTTTATATTGTGTGCTTCCTACAAGGAAGAGAAGATGGTAAATGTTATTGTATGGCAGTTCAATTATACGTGCATTCAGTCTAAGGCAGGGGTTCTCAAACTAAGGCCCGGGGGCCGGATGCGGCCCTCCAATGTCATTTACCTGGCTCTCGCTCAGGGTCAACCTAAGTCTGAAATGACTTGAAAGCACATAACAACAACAACAATCCTATCTCATCAGCCAAAAGCCCCTGTGGCGCAGTGGGTTAAAGCACTGTGCCGGCAGGACTGAAGACTGACAGGTCGCAGGTTCGAATCCGGGGAGAGGCGGATGAGCTCCCTCTATTAGCTCCAGCTCCTCATGCGGGGACATGAGAGAAGCCTCCCACAAGGATGATAAAACATCAAAAAAATCATCCAGGCGTCCCCTGGGCAACGTCCTTGCAGACGGCCAATTCTCTCACAACAGGAGCGGTTGCTCCTGACACGACAAAAAAAAAAAAAAAAAAAAGCCAAAAGCAGGCCCACATTTCCTATTGAAATACTAATAAGTTTATATTTGTAAACATTGATCCTCATTTTAATTATTTATTGTTTTTAAGTTTTTTACACTACAAATAAGATATGTGCAGCATGCATAGGAAGTCATTTTTTTTTCCAAATTATAATCTGGCCCTCCAACAGTTTGAGGGACTGTGACCTGGCCCTCTGTTTAAAAAGTTTGTGGACCCCTGGTCTAAGGCTTGGCATTAACATCCCTCAATGTATGCCCGTCTTTTTTTTCTGAACTTCAGAATTGCAATTTGGCATTCAAGAAATGGATTGTTCTTATTATTCTGGTGTCATGACTCCCTTCACCTATTATGAATTCTTGCTAGTCACCCAGTTGTGTGATTCACAGAGACCACAAAGAAGAAACACAGTTACAGGGAAGAAACCTGTCATTTGTTGTTATTATCCCTATTCAGAGAGGTTAATGAAGACCTGAGACAAAAAAACATTAGTTTCTATCCTATTGAGGGGGCTTGAGGCTATAAATTAAGATGTGTAGGAAATATCTGAATAATTCATCTATCAGAAACCGGTAAGAGCGTGGAACTAACTTTACGTGAAAAAATTGAACTGACAGAATTGGAAGATGATAAAGAAAAGATGTATTAAAATTTGGATACTGAATGTGTGCCAATACCAATCAGTGATGAAACTGCAGAATGATACATTCTGGTGGGAAAATACATCAAGTTAATGAAAAATAAGGGTTAAAGCATTGGAGCATTTCTTGTCATGTCTGGTTTTTCAACCTTGCATTCACCTGTTGTGAAAGGTAAGCTGCATAATAAAGACAATGTGATAACTATTCAAACTCACTGTGTTCAGAACATAAGCCATATAGATGAGCAAAGCAGGATTAGCCATTTCTTTTTTTTTCTCCCATCTCAAAGAAAAATAATGTTTCTATTCACTTACTTGTCCTTATTAAAGTGCATTTCCCCCATGGCTTTCACTGATAGGGCTCTCTTCATGCTTCACATTTGATCTATAGTTCAAAATCAAATGTCTAATCTAGAAAACAGCGGGAGAGTTACTTAGGTTGGATCAGCAGATTGTGAGTCAGCTTTGTCGCATTGTACATTGCCCCTACCTGCGAAGCCAGGCTGGCCACCTCTCCCCAGCTCATGTATTTATCCACCTGCTGCATCACAGCTTCAAATGGCCATTTGGCCAGGAGGCCCTGGGGAAAAACACAAAAAGCCAATCATTCACCGTGTTATCCTTCAGTTTGCATCAAGCTGATAAACACATTTCATGAAGACATACAAAAATACAACATAGGTAGCTTGAAAAGAGAGTGGTCTACGACTCCAGGTGGGGCCAGACACCACAAAAGGCTTAGACGTTAGCCAGGAAATGTACCACCTTATAACACCTGCCAGTGTTGTAAGGTGGTACAGTGTTTATTCACTCGCCTGGATCACTTGGGCTCTTTTCTCCAGCTGCGGAATCAGCAAGAGGCAGCCTAAAGCAAACGCCGGCAGCTGCAACTGAACATACTGCTTAGCAATCCTGAGAAGGTCCAGATGAGTTGGGAGTGGACACCTTTGGGAGCAGAGAGAATAAAACACTACCATTATTTTAACAGAGTAACAGAATAGCCACCCAAATGGTCTAACGCAAGGTCCATGGGGCAGGTCGAGCATTCCAAGATTATTTACCCAGCCACCACACTAAACTTTAGAGCAGGCCTGCATAACTTGGCAGTAGTGAGGGGCCAAAATTGAATAGATGAAACCTCTCATAGATTTTTAGTGTCTCAATCTGTTGCATTCTAGCCTTGAGGTCACCCTTTTTCACCCAGAACCACACCAGAGTACAGTAGTATCTAACTACAGCAGTTTATTTAGAAAAGCATATATAAAAGGGGGAAAAGGCAATTCCCCAAAAGCAGTAGAAACAGTGCTATAAAATAGCAGTAGTCCATATATACAAAGTTCAATAGTCCATAAAGGCAAGGTAAATGGAATCCAGGAAATCAGGATCATAGGCATAAATCCATAAACATCAAAGCAGTAGCTTTTTCAAGGCAAAACTCTTACAGGAACATAGGCAAACACAGGAGACAAGATTCATGAGCATGATATCTGATCCAGGAACTTGATTCTATGGAAACGTTGTCTGCTCTGTAGACTCTAAGAAAACATCACTTAATTTAAGCTCAGGCCCTACGAAGAAGCTGTGAGGTCATCTCTTTGACACCTGGGTCTGAAAGACTTCTCACAGAGGCTAATCTCTTCTTCACTCCCTCTGCGTGGAGGCTCAATCACGGGTAAACTCCTCATCTGTTGAAGGCCAATTCTCATGAGAAATGGAATCCCAAATATCTTCTGTAACTGCTGGCCTTTCTCTCTGATCTCTCTGAGCTAAAGCCTGCAATTCAGCCTGGTCACACACAGACTCAGTGAAAAACCCATCATCCCTCACATCCTCTGAGGACTCCCCAGCATCCTGCTGCTGAGCCCCAACACAATACAGGTTTGTGAAAGAGTGCCTTCCCCTCAGAACAAGAAGCAAAGCAGGTGAGTCTCCATTTCCAGCTTCCCCTCATCCTGGTGGCGAGTTGCAGTCCTTTTCCGAGGGAAAGAAGAAACGCCCCAGAGCGCTTGCGTCGTCTTCTCTCCCTTTCTCTTTGCCTCTGGGTTGCCTCTTGTATCCTTTGCCTATGGAGGGAAAAACTGCCAACTCCCTCATGTCCCTCATGTGTCGGGGAGAAACTTTGTTAAGACAAGTTTCTCCCTCACAAACGAACGGTGCAGAATTGGAGGTTTTGTCACTGGATGAAAAGGAGACGACGGAGGCAAATTTTAACATAACCAAGAGCCCAATATTCTAACCTTCCTGAATAAAGGTCTGTTATGCCTGTTCCCCACTATTATAATCTGAGTCATCCCTGCTCCCCACTATTCTAATCTGAGGCCAACAACCTCCCAGACAATCTATATAGTCTAACCCCCACAACAGTCTGGGGACCCTGAACCAAGCTTCAATTTAAAAAATTGGAGGACTTAGCCTAACATCAAGATGTACACGTCGATCAGAACACATGTTTTTCTTAAAGCATTATCTTGTGCAAATTCCACTTAATGGACTTGGAATTTAAAAATGCTCCTGGCAAATAAAAAGCCCATGCAGTGGGCCAAAGTCTGGATTGTTCACATCAGGGGGTTTGAAGCACATTTTCCCTTCCTGATGCACATTTTAATGACTAACGCCACTTTATCCCTATTAATTCGGCACAAGACGTGCCTTCACTTACATTAAGAGCAATCTGAAAGAGTCACAGCATGCTTCCAGTTGGCCAGGACTTGGTGGAGGAACAACTTTGAAAACAAGACACACAAAAGGAAAAGATTTTCTTCAAAATGTCTTTTGTTTAGCATCACAGCTGGACAGAGGAGGTTGTAGTCTCTCTCGCCATGCAAAGGAGATACACGGCTAACCTTTGCAAAGTGTGCCCATTACAATGCTATTGTGATCAGATTTGGTTTGAACAAAATCCCAACATCCCCATGAGGCTGAATTGGGCACCCAGCCAGTCTCCGATTTCAATTGCTGCTTAATTGGCATGTGAGGTATGCCAAAAGCAAAGCACTTTCATGCATTAACGTCACAAAATGGGGCAGGAAAAATAGAGGGAAGCTAACCTGAAAGAAGAGGTGCGCAAATGACCGTTTGCCAGGCTCGGCTGAAATTCGGGATCTGCGGAAAGTTCAAATATGTGAGAAGCACAAATGTGTTGGCCAATGGAATATGAAACCTGCAGAGGCTTTAAATCCAGTGAAACCACTGTCTTCATCCTCACCATGCTATGTCTGTCTAAATAGGTGTAAAAACGAAGGCTGTGGCATCTCTCCAGAGGGTTACAAATTAATAGACATAGTACATGAGACATTTTGGGGGGGAAAGTTGAGGAGGGGAAGCAGGAAAACAAGCACATTCAGAAACGAACTCCTTGCAAAGTTGCTTTGTTGTTTCTCAACCAGGTGGAAGGCAACTTCAGGAAATGGCCAGAAACCGAGTTCATAGCTAACTTGGCCTAGTTACCTTTGCTGTCCTTGGGAGGCTGCCAGATGGAAAGGATGATCACAAGAGCCACTTCTGGGAGAAGCGGGGCCTAATGGCACTTAGCCACCTGCCAGCTAATGGAGATGTTTTTCTCCTGAACATAACAAGCCGTACCCAGCCCCATGAAGCTCTCTGTTCATACAATTAAGAGCCAGCAACCGAGCAAAACCGTAAGGGGCGAAAAGGACCTGAAATTTCAGGCTCTTAAAAACTATTTTGAGATTCAGAGGTAAAGCTGACCCTTTTAACGTGACGCACGTTGGGCCTTCTGGTTCCAAAAACCACCAGTCCTCCAAAGGGCAGAGGAAGGGCAGGGAAGATTTCTCGGAAAAGATAATTGGCAGCCCATCAGTTTTTAGCCCAAGGTATATCTACCTAGTTACATTAGTAGCCTGCCTCTCCAATTACAAAGAACATAATGTACATTACTCCTGGTAATAATGTCTCCTGTTAGAGCAATATCACTCATTATTATGTTTTCTAATGATTCATTATGACCGCTAATGATTTGTTTTGCTTCTACCCTTTCACAGATGTTCCTAAAGGCCAAGTCTACATATCATGCATTCCAATTATGGGATCGAGGACACATGGGTAAAACTCAAGGCCCATGGGCCAAATCCGGACTGCCATGTGGCCTTACTCCAATTGCTGGACTCCAACTCCTACATTCCTCAGCATTAGAGATTATTATGACTAGGGCTGATGGGAATTGGGATATAGTCACATCTGGAAAGCTGCAGTTTGTTCTGCTGAGTCAGGAGAGTGGGATTTGGATTGAGATACAACACTTGTGGAGATGATATCTGACTTTGAAATGTCCTTTAAGCTTTTTCCAACCTCACAGCCACAAGGATGGTTGGGTTGCAATTCCCATCATCCCCAGTCTGCATGGAGAATAATCCAAAGTGATAGGAGCTGTCATTCAGTAACATCTGGGGACACAAACTTGGTAAAAACTAAAGCTCACTGACCACTATATAAACAATTATAGTTGGTCCTCCCTCTGTCTCTGTGGATTTTCCTTCCATGGATTCAAGGGCCAGGCTTTAGCACAGCAGGTTAACTATCAGCTGCAGTAAATCTTGCCAATCGAAAAGTTGACAGTTCGAAGCCCATGTCTGGTGAGCTTCTGGCCTTTAGCCCAACTTTTGCCTACTTTGCAGTTTGAAAGCAAAATAGATAGGTACCACTTTTAAAAAGCAGGGAGGCATTTAAGGCACCCGTAAGAAAATGCCAGAAAAATGCTGGTGATTCCATCAAGGAGGAAGTTTATGAACAATGCTCTTTGGCAGGGAGATGGAGCGACAGCACCCCCTTGTGGCCGGAACCCAGCACAAGCCTCCAAGATGCCGAAGATGGGAAAAGGCTATGTATAACTCTATCTATGTACAATTGTCTGTCTTGTCAGTGTATAAACAACATTGAATGTTTGCCATATATGTGTTCTGTGATCCGCCTTGAGTCCCCTTTGGAGTGAAAAGGTGGAATATAAATACTGTAAATAAATAAATTGAAGGCAACCATAAGGTGAATGTGGCCCTCCATGATAATTAGCTTGACACCTCTGATTTAGAGGCTACTAGAATATGGATCATGTTTGTCCAGGCACAATGGCAGGTAGCCTTCTATTAGTTTAGGCTAGGGAAAGAGTGGATTGAATACTGAGGCTCCAGGGCTGAAATTCCCCTGGATGAACCTACAGCAAGTTCTCCTATCCAAAGAGGAACATCTACCTCCTCTGAAGAAGTCTTGCCAAGAAACTCTACAATAAGTCAGAGCTGACTTGAAGATACATAACAACAGCAAACAACAAGACAAAGTAGTTTGGCTCAAAGAGGCAACTGATATCTCCAAGGATGTGCTAAATAAAATGATTAACAACAAGGCATTCTGGCCTTGGGTTGAGTTTTGACTATGGCGCAAATGCCCTGCCGAAGGGAAAACATCCACCTACCTTCCATAACGAATAGATACCAGAAATCTCCCTTAAAACCTTCCTCAGGTAAGAGATCTGAAATACATAAGAGATGTCTCAATGTTTCCATCTTTCTACATAAAACTAGATCACGTCCTCAACCCAAGGAAAAAAAAAACCTGTACCATTTGGAAACTCATCAGCTTCTGCAGCAAACCGTTCCAAAGCTGAGCGTCGTGGACTTGGTAGTCTAAACTGAGCTCGGTCATCAGTTTCACGGCCTGAAAATGATTGTATGAACACATTCAGAAATTGCTCCCACACAATGCTAACTGGCAGAGAAAGCTTTTCCTATTCCTCAATATTTGGGGCTAACCCAGTTTTAGTCTTAACAGAAGTAGACTGCTTCACATATATAAGGATCTTACAAAAAAGACGTCTCTCAGTCACCCCCTTGCTTTCTTAAAGTAGGAAAAAGGCACTGTTTGAACCAAGTGCTTCATTCGTGGCCCATCTTCCCGACATCCAGCCCCCAGCAAGGTTACCATGGGTTTATGGCTATGGTTTTTCCACAATCCTTTGACCAGTCCCTCCTTGGGAGTGCTGTGAAACGATTCATAGGTGTACGGGATACTCAGCACCTTAAACTGCGAAAGGTAAGTCAAACACTTCAGGAGTTGCCTGCAAAAAACAGCCAGGAGTAAATGTCAGGGTTTTTTTTAATCTTAGAGGAGCCACAGATATATAACCCTGGTGGTTGAAATAAGAGAAGGAACGAAGTGTGTAAACATGTGTCATTTCCCCTTTTGAATTCAAAGCCTAGGACTACACAAACTGGGGCCTCTTTTATACCACTAAAAGTTGAGAGTGTTCCTTATCTTTTGTAAATGTTGCCTGCTACTGTCTCAAAGATTCCTCTCCTCTTATTTCTGAGTGACTAGAGTTATTTTAAACCTTTATTTACAGTATTTACATTCAGCCCTTCTCACCCCGAAGGGGACTCAGGGCAGATTACCGAATGCATATACGGCAAACATTCAATGCCATTCTACACTGACAAGACAGACAACAGACAGAGGTAGATTTAGGCTTTTTCTCATCATTTGGCATCTTTTGGAGGCTGTGCTTGGTTTCAGCCACAGGGGGGTGCTGTCGCTCCATCTCCTTGCCGAAGAGCTTTCTTTGCTCATAAACTTTCCTAAAATACCTTCCCACTTAATGCAGTTCCTATTCATCTACTCACACTGCTGTTTTCTGCTAGGTGAGCAGGAGAGCTGGGCTAAAGGTCAGGAACTCACTGGACCCAGCTTTGAACTGTCAACCTTTCAGCTGGCAAGATTTACTGCAGCTGCAGCTGGTGATTAACCTGCTGTGCTAAAGCTGGCCCAATCCTTTATATCACAATCTTTTATTATGTTGTCATGGTAGAAATGCATCGATGTTATGATTTTTATTGTTTGTACACCACTTTCTTTCTCTAAGAAAGAGACTCAAAGCAGCTTACAGCCAAACCAAAACAATACAATACAATTTGAAACCTAACAGTCTTTTTTTTAAAAAAAAGTTTAAATCAGTGGTTCCCAACCAGTGGTCCATGGACCACAGGTGGTCCGTAAGAAACAGAAAAGTGGTCTGTGGGCATCTTGCACAGAAAACGTGAGTAGACACAGCATGGCTGTTGAGGAAGGGGCCCTGCAGGCATAACCCCACCCCCCACACCCCACCCCCACACAGACCCTTCTACTCCTGTTGGCCCTCCTCTTCTCCTTCGTCCAAAATAAAGAAATGACTCCTGTTAGCCCACTCACAGTCCCCTTCTTTCAACCTAGCCACCCCCTCCTGTCGCCTGGGTTTTCAAATGAGGATCGGGTAGCAGCAGCTTCCTCAAGCCCGGGCAAAGAAGGAAGGATCCAATGCCTCCCTTCTCACCCCCTCCCTTTGACCAGTGCTGGACCCTTCCTCCCTTACCTGCTCTTGATGAGGCTGCTGCCAGAGTCCCATTTGCAGTCTCCTCGTTGCAACTCCACCCCCTGCCACCTGAGCCTGCAAGGAAAAAAGGCTCCAACATTGGGCAAAGGGAAGAGGCAAGAATGGCTATATTGGATCCTTCCTTCCTTGTCTGGACTTGAAGCTGCTGCTGCCAGAGCCTCAGTTTCAGGCGTAGGCAGCAGGGAGATGGGCTGCAAGGAGGAGATTGCAAACAGGGCTCTGGCAGCAACCTCCTGATCAGCAGGTAAGGAAGGAAGGGTCCAACGCTGGGCAAAGGAAGAAAGCAGGAATGGTGGTGTCAGACTCTTCATTCCTTTCCTGCTTTTGACGCAAGGTAGCAAGCCCTGTTCGCAGGCTGGACTGCAAGGAGGAGGAGACAGCCGAATTCACAGGTCACTGAAAGCAAAGGGACAGGAGAAGCTTCACCATTGGCTCCTTGTGAGGAGGGAAGGGAAAGGAAGGAAGCACATGGGCAATCTCGCCCTTTGGCTGGCCCAACGGGAGAGAGTGCCCTTTGTGTGCAGGTGGTAGGGAGAGGGGTTGGTTAATCTCAATATGCCACGATGTATCTGCTTTTGCCTCAGTGGTCCATGGTCTCTTAAAGTTTGGGAACCACTAGTTGAAATCCTTCAAACTGATTAAAAACCAATTCATAGTGAAAACTACAGCACCATCTGACTTGTTCAAGAAAGAAAAGAAAAGGGAACCTGCTCCTCCGAGAGGTCTCCAAATTGAAAAGGACTTGAAGGTGGGAAGAAAACATGGCAGCTACTGCGGGTAATTGTTGGAAAATACTCCGTTTGGATACGTCCAAATGTATTGGGAGTGCGACCTCCCAATACATTTGGGCCATCTGGGGAAGACTTATGTCTTAGGGGCCTGCTTACTTCACGTTCTCAATGGGTTGTTTGAAGAGCGATTCCACTGCAGGAGGGTCAGCAATGCAGAGCAGGCACTTGAGGGCCTGGCTCCGGTGAGCAAAGCTCAGCTGATTTAACCCAATAGGCTGAAAGAAGAGGAAGAGAGAGAAACTTGTATTATTTCAGAAGAAACAAATTCAAGATGGCTTCATTTCCCCCCACTGTTCCTGGTAACATTTAACAGGGGCAGCCCTTGGCATCTTCTTAGAGGCGCTGCTCTTTCAAAGGCAGTTGCTCAATGAAACAAGGGCCAACCAACCTAGAGAAAACCCCTTCTTTAGACTGCAAGTCCCAGAATCCCTTGTTTGGTTATTTCTGAGTGATCCTACAGTGCCAGTTAGCATTCTGCATTAGACAGATGTGCCCACTAGGACCAAAAAGGCAATGTTGTGGCTCTTGAAGAGGGTTCAGAACCACCAGCAGGTTTGAGAAGGTCACTCTCCAATTTCTGATTGATTCAAACCACAATGCCTCTAAAACCTGGTTTCTGGTTCTATCATCTGCTTTGGTTGGGATTATCTAAACTTCCGTTCACAGCAATCTTCCCAATATTTTGTGTCAGCCAATGAAACCTTGCTTCAGATTGCTGATCCTAGCCCCAGATTGTCTGGCACACTCTTCAGAGAGAAATAATAATAATAATAATAATAATAATAATAATAATAATAATAATAACAACAACAACAACAACAACAATAATTCATTTTTAACCCGCTCTCTCTCCCCAAGGGGACACAGGGTGGCTTCCAACGTAAAAAAATGGCAAACATTCAATATTAGTACAAAACATAATAGACAATTTACAGACCATTAAACGTAGATCAATCTAAAATACCATATAAAACATATAATATAAAATATATCATAAAAGATAAAATTACATAGTTTACATATCAAAATATAGGTCACCATAACTTAAAATTATTTGTTTTAAATAATTTAAATAATAAAATTTGTTTAAAATTATTAAAATAGAATTGGTGGTAGTCTACTTTCCTTCCTCTCTGTAAGCTAGTTCACACAAATGCGTTTTCAGTTGTTTTTTTAAAAAGAAAGTAGTGATGGGGCCATTCTAATTTCTTTAGAAAGGGAGTTCCAGAGGGATGGGGTGACCACGTAGAAGGCCCTCTCTCTCATTCCCACCAACCATGCTTGAGATGGGATGGGACTGAGAACAGGGCCCCCTCCGTTGATCACAGTGTTCGAGCAGGTCTATACAAGGGAATGTGATTTGTCAAATAGTCTGGGCCCGAACCTTTTAGGGCTTTATAGGTAATGACCACTACTTTGTATTTAGCCCAGAAACAGACCGGCAGCCAGTGGAGCTGCCATAACATGGGAGTTGTCCACTCCCTGTACGGCGCTCCAGTTAGCAATCTGGCTGCCGATCTCTACACTAGTTGAAGCTTCCGAACTATCCTCAAGGGCAGCCCTACGTAGAGATAGTTGAAGTAGTCCAAGCGGGATGTAACTGAAATGTGGACAACCATGGCTAGGTCTGGCATCTCAAGGCACACGCACAGCTGGTGTACAAGTTTAAATAGTGCAAAGGCACTCCTGGCCACCACTGACACATGAGGTTCCAGGGTCAGCGATGAATCCAGGATCACCCCAAGATTACAAACCTGTGTCTTTAGGGGGAGTGCGACCCCATCCAGCACATGCTGTAATCCCACACCCTGATCCGCATTCCAACTGACCAGGAGTACCTCTGTCTTGTCTGGATTTAATTTCAACTTGTTAGCCCTCATCCAGTCCATTACTGATGACAGGCACCAGTTCAGGGGCAGGACAGCATCCTTGGCTTTTGGTGGAAAGAAGTAATAAAGTTGGGTGTAATATGCATAAATCTTACACCAAACTCCAAAGCTCCGGGTGATCTCTCCCAGCGGTTTTATATAGATATTTAAAAGCATGGGGGACAGAACCAAACCCTGAGGGACCCCACAGGCCACCGGCCAGGGAGCCGAACAGAAGTCCCCCAGCACAACCATCTGGGACTGGTTCTCCAGGAAGGACTACAGTCACTGCAGAACAGTGCCCCGAAGCCCCATCCCAGAGAAACAGCCCAGAAGGATACCATGGTTGAGGGTATTGAAAGCCGCTGAGAGCTCCAGAAGAACCAGCAAAGACACACTCCCCCCGTCTAGCTCTCTTCGTAGATCAACCACCAAGGTGACCAATGCCATCTCAGTTCCTTAGCCAGGCCTGAAACCAGATTGAAATGGATCCAGATAATTGATTTCATCCAAGAAATTTTGGAGCTGAGAGATCACTATCTTCTCTAGAACCTTGCCCAGGAAGGAGAGATTTTATATTGGCCTAAAGTCGCTCAATTAAGTGGGATCCAGTGCTGGTTTCTTGGATAAAGGTCTTGCTACTGCCTCCTTGAAGCTATTAGTATTATGCCTTGAGTGAAGAAGGCAGAAACTCATTGGCATCCTGTTCTGTCTGCATTCTGTAAACAAGGCGAAGCCACTGTGAATGGATACAGACACTTACTGATATTTCCGACACGGCCCAACTGTAAAGGATCCTTAAGCGGCTGTCTTCTGGGTGCGCTTGAAGGAGATATATGACCCTGTGAAAACACAAGCTTTGATGCAAGTGCTGGCCCTTCCTTGTGGGCCCATGATCTGTAACCAGATTTGGCAACAATGGAGACAATGCTGTGCAAACAAACAAGAATAGCCATGTGCTGAAACTGCAAACCTTACCTCTTCAAATCTTCATCTTCTTGGACATTTTCAAAGGCCCCTGACGTTTTCTTTATTAAAGAAAAAAGAAAAAAAAGGAAATGGGAAGTTTTAAAGGAGGGTGCTGGGATGAGGCCACAGAGGGACAGGCCAGACAAACGCACTTTTATCTATTTTTCTGTATCTATCTATATTATATCTGTCCATCTACTATATCTACATATTACATATTATTACATTATATTATGTATATTATATTACCAGTATATATATATATATATACAGATATTAGATAGATAGATATAATAAAAGAGAAAATATTTTGTATGTATGCATCTATCTATCTAACGATCTGTCTATGTTTGTATGTATATTCCAAGATGGTGCTCACAATTGAAAAGTACTCTGAAACCAATTGACAATTGATTTGGATCAATCTTGGTAGACAGACCCACCACAACCAACTTTAAATACCAGTGGGGCTTGGGGGGTCGACCCAGAACAATGGGAGATGTAGTTCACTTGGCATCCAGAGAGCACTGTGACTCCCACCAATGGTGGATCTGGACCAGACGTGGCACACATACCCATCATGACCCAACTTTAAATGCTGACAGGCTTGGGGGGGAGCGGTAACCTAGGATGATGGGGGTTACAGTCCACCCACATCCAAAGACCTATGTGTATCCTACATCTGGGGAGCCATGTGTATTTCTAATGGAACCATTCATTAAATCCAAAACCAAACAATGACTACTTATAATAATAGCCATACACATTGTCTAACCCAGGCATCGCCGGGTATCTAAGCTAGTTTAAAAATCAAAGGATCACAGAGCTAAAGAGAAGGATGACTTATTCAAGTACTTCAGGGATGGCAAAATGTGGCCCGGTATAAAGTGTTGGAGTGCAATTCCCATCACCCCTAGACAGCACAGACCATAGTGGGGAATGCTAGGAGATGTAGTCCAATTACCTCGGGAGGGCCAGACAGCAATGCGGTCGGACAAATTTATCAGTAACTACCAGTTGTGACCACTAGACAAAACGATATCCCTCTTGGAAGGGCATACTTACATCTGTTGGGAGCTCACTTGGACACAGCCACTTCTCTAGCAGCACATTCCATATTTTTGTTATATCCAGGTCATTGATTTTGGCTATTTCTGTAGCTGCAGCATGGATATCTATACAGAAACAGAGATGGGACCTTTAAGAAATCGGAGAACATCTTTCCATCTCCCCCTTGTAGATTTGCAGGCCCCGGAGATACCTCCCTGCCTCTGAACTCTTGCCAAAACATGGGGAATTGTGTTTCCGGAAGAAGGACTTGCCTCCGCCGCCCCACCACCACCCTCCACGATTTGGTTTGAAAATGAGTCCTTGGGCCCTCCCAGGTGTTGAGTAATTTCAGAAAGGAAAAAGGCATATCAAAATGTAACTCAGCAACAATAGCCAGCAGCAGTTTAAACAGATTGGAAGAATCTTGAGTGCAGCAGTAGAGCGAATGAGCACCAGCAATTACAGAAGCAAAGTCAAGCCTTAAAAGTTACAAACAGTTTTGTTGAAAGAACTGGATTTCTATACAGGAAAGTAAGGGCCTAGCTATGTAACTATCTAGTTGGAGACATCTTGTCTCTCTCCATGCTCACACGAAAAGAACAAAATGGAGGACTCAGGGGCTTGCCATGTGCTTAGGTATTTTGAATAAAAAGAGGTATGTCCCTGAGAAGTATCAGTCTAACAAACAGGAAGAGGGAGGCAGACTCAGAGGGCAATGAGGGAAGGACTTTCCCCATCCAACTCACTCATCTACCTTATTTCCTTGATGAGGACTATAAACATGCAGGATGGGGTTGAGTTCCAACACCAGGGGCCCTTGCACACCAGGCAAGCCCAGTGCTAAGGAGATCGGTGAGCTAACCTGGGTAGTCCCTGCCCATTGGATCCTGAAAGCTTTCAAGAATGCTGCTGTGCTGATACAGCAACACAATGAGCTTGCCCGGTGTCCCCAGGAGTTTCCGGTGCTCTTCCGAGTTCAGCTTGTGGATCATAAGTACAGCCTCTGTGGCCGACTGCTGGTGGTGCGCTTGCAGCTTCTTCAGAGATTCTTCAACCTTCTCACGCAATTCATCCTGGATCAGAAAACAGAGAGCAGATATTTAATAATAATAATAATAATAATAATAATAATAATAATGTTATTTCTTGCCCTCCTCTCCTCATGGCCAGTTGCAGAATGATGAAAACACATAAACATTGTAAAAATACCACAAATACACAGTAGCACCAAAAAGGCTGTGGTCCAGAAGCAAATGGAAATGAGAACAACCAACCAACAGGACTGGTTTGCCAGTAAAAGCTATATGCAAAAGCGAGTTTCTCACTCGCACTTAATGCTCATAGGATTCCAGAGAATATTCAAGGTTTTGAACCTTCCTTGCCAAAGAATGTTGATGCCTCACCAAACTACAAATCCCAAGCTTGTATAACACAGAGCCATGGCCATGAAATTAGAGGTGACATCTCTCAAATAAGTGCTCTAGGAGCTCCTGAAGTAGCTTCCCCTTTGACTTTGGCTATGCACAAAGATGAGCATATGAAACAAATCTAATGCCCACCCTAATATATCCAACAAAGGTGAGCATTAGATTTATTTATTTGATTGCCATATTTATATCCCGTCCTTCTCAATCACGTAGAGCAATGGACATAGAGGCACAATTAGATGCCATACATTTCATACAATACATATGCAGCAAATAAAAAATATATACATTAAAACAGCTGCTAAAAACATATCAACATTAAAATTATTTAAATGACATAATCCCATATTGTAGTTCAGGCCGTTCCAGTTATCATTGAACCATTCCATGTTCACATATTGCACTATTCCAGTGTTTTTCAACCTTCCTAATGCTGCATCCCCTTAATACAGTTCCTCATGTTGTGGTGACCCCCAACCATAAAATTACTGTTGTTGCTACTTCATAACTGTCATTTTGCTACTTTTATGAATTGTGATGTAAATATCTGATATGCAGGATGCGTTTTCAGCCACTGGACCAAATTTGGCACAAATACTCAATATGCCCACATGTGAACACGTGTGGAGTTTGGGGGAAACAGACTTCACATTTGGGAGTTGTAGTTGCTGGGATTTATAGTTCACCTACAATCAAAGAACATTTTAAGTCCCACCAATGATAGAATTGGGCCAAACTTCCCACACAGAACCCCCATGACCAATAGAAAATTCTGTGTTTTCTGATGTTCTTTGGCAACCCCTCTGACACCCCCTCACAACCCTCCCCAGGGGTCCCGATCCCCAGGTTGAGAAACACTGCACTAATCTTTTATCAAAACGCTTAGTCCCACATCCAAGTTTTCAGTTTTTTCCTAAAGGTCAGGAAGGAGGGGGCTAATCTGATGTCACTTGGGTGGGAGTTCCACAGCTGAGGGGCCACCACTGAGAAGGCCCTGTCTGTTGTCCCCACCAACTGTACCTGCAAAGGAGGTGGGACCGAGAGCAGCCCCCCCCCCCCGGTAGATATTAGCGCCCAGGATGTTTCATGGGGGAGATACGTAAGCTGAGCCAGAACCGTTTAGGGTTTTATAGGCTAAAGCCAACACTTTGAGTTATGCTTGGTAGCAGACTGGCAGCCAGTGGAGCTGGCGTAACAGAGAGGTTGCATGCTCCCTGTAGCCTGCTCTGGTGAGCAATCTGGCTGCCGCCCATTGGACCACTTGAAACTTCCAAACAGTCTTCAAAGGCAACCCCACGTAGAGCACGTTGCAGTAGTCTATTCAAAATCTAACAAGAGCATGGACCACAATGCGAATGCTCCCCACCCAACATTGGTTGTAACCCTATATCCTGTTTTGCCTTCCGACTGACCAGGAGTAACCTCTGTCTTGTTTGGATTCAATTTCAATTTGTTCGCCCTCATCCAGACCATCACAGCTGCCAACCACCGCTTCAGGACCTGAACCGCCTCCTTAGCAGCAGGTGGAAAGGAGTGGTAGAGGTGGACATCATCTGCATAGAGATGGCATAGAACTCCAAAACTCCGGATGATCTCTCTCAGCGGCTTCATGTAGATTTTTTTTTTAATAAGTTTTTATTAGTTTATCACAATTATTACATACTATTGCATTTTCTACATCAACCTCTTTAACATGTTATTTTGTTGTTTTGCTTTGACATTCCTCCCCTTTTTTTTTTTCTCTTTTTTTTTTTTTCCCCACCTCCGTGCTCCCCTCCACCCGTTTCAAGCCACATTTCTTACATTTCATCAGTCCAAAATTCCATTTCTTCTTGTGACGGTAATTTTCCTTCCTTATTTTTTAATCCATTTATCACAAATTTCCCCCATATAGCATCAAAATCACTTTGTTTCCATATACCTTTTTTAACCTTTAATATACATGTCAATTTATCATTTATTGCTAATTTCCATGCTTCCTTATACCACTCCTCTATTTGTATATTCATTTCTTTTTTCCAATTCCTTGCTATGAGCAGTCTTGCTATAGTTAATAAATTTGTTATCGCTTCTTTATCCTCCTTTTTCAATTGCTTATTTATATAATGATATAAGGCTATACTAGGACTTTTATCTATTTTCATATTCATTATTATTTCTATTTCTCTAAATACTTTCTCCCAAAAATTATTTACATATTTACATTGCCACCACATATGTATATATGTTCCTGGTTCTTGACACCCTCTCCAACAATTTATTGAATTATTTTTATTCATATATGCTATTCTTACCGGTGTTAAGTACCACTTCCATATTAACTTATAATAATTTTCTTTAACTCGTATCGATAAATTTTTTAAATGTCTTTGTCCCCATAACTGTTGCCACTCTATTTCGCTTATTTTTATCCCTAAATCCTCTTCCCAAATCTCCTTAAGGGTACACTTTTTTATTTTTCCATCCCTCATTTCAATTAGTATCTTATAGATTTTGCTAATTATACCTCTCAAGTTTTCATGTTCTTCTACTGCCCTTCCCTTCTGTATTATTTGTTCGAATTGATTAAGTTGGCCTCCATTTCTATTATTCTTTTTCCAATTTATTAACCATTGTTCTAATTGTATACAGTGAAACCATGATAATTTTATTTCTTTAAACTCTTCCAACATCCTTTCCCTCTTCATTTCCACTTTCATCCAATCCCCTATTCTATCTAAATTATTTCCCTTACCTTTTTATCCATTACTTTTTTTAAATTTTTTGGGAATTTCTTTTCCATCACTACTGGGGTAATAATTGATCCTTCCTTTATTAACCTCCCCTTGTACTTATTCCATACTTTCAGTATGTTACTCAACATTGGGTTTCTAATTTCCTTCAATTCTGTTCTAGTAAGCTGTTTAAAAAATATATTCCAGGTTTCATCTTCCACTTTTCCTGAATCATTACTAAGCCAGTCTATTCCCTTTTTTTTAACCATTCCTTCTATAACCAGATTTAGTCTACTTGCATCATAATATTTTTTTATATTAGGTAATGCTAGTCCACCCTCCTTTTGCGATCTATACCATATTTGTTTATTTAGTCTGTTTCTTTTACTTCCATTGCAGTACTTATTAATCATTTGTTGCCATCTAGTTAGTTCTTCTTCTGTGATTTGAAGTGGTAGCATCCTAAATATAAAATTTATTTTTGGAAGTATTTTCATTTTTACTAATGCTATTCTTCCAAACCAGGATAAGTGTATACCTTCGTACTCTATTAACTTTTTCTGAACTTCTTTTCTTAAAGTTACTACATTTACTTCCTCTATCTCTTTTAAATCCTTAGTTATTATTACTCCCAAGTATTTTAATTTATTCTTAATTCTTATTCCCATTTTTCTCTGTTCTATAAAATCTTTTTCTTCTTCTCTTGTATAATTGAGTAGCATCATTTCTGACTTGTTCCAATTAACTTGTAAACCCGTTGCTTTCCCAAATATCTCCAAATGTTCTTTTATTCTATCTATTTTCTCCACTATATTTTCTATAAATAACAATGTATCGTCAGCGAATAAGCTCACCTTCTGTTTCTCCTTTTTTCCTAACCCTTCTAAATTTTTATCGTTCCTTATGCTATTAGCAAAAAGTTCTATCACCATAGCAAATAATATCGGGGACAAAGGGCACCCTTGTCTAGTTCCTCTAGTCACTTGTATTTCATTTGTCACTCCATCATTTATAGTTATTACTGCTGAATTCTTTGAATAAAATTGTTTTAGTACTCCTTTTATTTTATTTCCCATTCCAAATTTATTCAATATTTCCCTTAATGTCTCCCATTCCACACAATCAAACGCTTTAAAAATATCTAATGATAATATCCCTGCCTTTCCCTTCCCTTCTTTGGCCCCATGAATTTTATTTAGTACTCTCCCTGTCAAATTTGACATTTGTCTTCCTTTTATAAACCCACACTGGTCTTCTTTTATATACTTATACATACATTTATTCATTCTATTAGCTAATATCGCGGATAATATCTTTGGGGGGGAGGAGTCACCATGGCCGAGTAGCAGACGTCTTCCTGGATAGCTCCCGAGCAAAAGACCAGAATGCAGTGATAAAAGATCTTAAGGATTTCTCTTTATGGACTGGAAAAGAGGCGAAAGTGTGGTGTGTCTAAAGAGCTGAAAAAAAGAGGAGTCTAAAGGTAAACAACCACCGTTTAATTGCTTTTGATTTATGATCTCTGGAAGCTGGCTTGCTTCGGCTTGCTTTCGGCCGAAAGTGAAACTGACTTTGCAATTACAAGTGCGTCATAAGTCTTGCAATTTAACTAAAAACTTTTGGAGAGTCTGGATTTAATGAATTGGAAGGCAAAAGCAATGATCAAAGCAATGATTAAAGACAATGATTAAAGACAAGCCTTTCCAGTGAAGAAGGAGTGAATTATTAACGTCAGCTAAATTGAACTCCTTGGTATAAGGAAGAGTTGCAGCGATACAAACATATGTGGGTGGAAACTTTTGGACTGTGCTGTGCTGAATGACTGAATGAGTGAATGGACTGAATGAGTGGAAGCAGGAAGACACACCAAAAGAGAGACACACCAAGAGAGATTTCAAAGAACCCTCTGTGGGAACGTACAAAACCCTCAGA